GAGAGACCTGTTTTTTTTTAACAAAGAATGATGACAACAGTAGACAATCATAAAAGAAAGAATATAAACTGAAAAGAATAAATGAAAGAAAAATGAACGAAAATGATATTAAAAAATGTATCAAAAATCAGCTCGATTGTAAGGCGGTGTAGAAAACTAAAAATATTAACATGTCTGTACTGGTGTTTGCCAGGAACTTAGCAGATATTTGAAACCACTTAGAGAGGTCAAGGTTGAGAGCTTGAGATCTTTTTGCAAGATATTTCAGGAAACAGGAGCGGAGTAGGAGAAGGTCCTTTTGCCAAGTTCAGTCCGCACTGAGGGAACACTGCAGGTAATAATGTCCTGAGAGTGCACGCTGTAGCTGCACTCACGCAGAGACATGTAGGAGGAGATGTATGAAGGCAACAAACCAAGAAGTGATTTAAAGATGAAAATGTACCAGTGAGAGAGTCTGCGTGAAGTTAATGATGACCAGTTAACCAGTGAATACAGGGTGCAGTGATGGGTACGGTAGTTCCAGCTAGTTATGAATAGCGCACCATGATAGACAGCGTCCAACATCTGCAGGGTGCTTGTAGGAGCGTTCATGTAAATAATGTCACCGTAGTCAATGGAGAGAAGCAAAGTCACAGATACAAGGCATTTCCTAACATTCAGAGTATACTTCAAAAATTGCACCCACTTTTTGAGTTTTGCTCTCATTGCAGGTTTGAAAAAGTACTCTTTATATAGATTTACTTACTTTCCCAGGTGGAGCAACAGCCCTCCTAAATAAAAAAGGACCTTGTGTAGCTGACTGACATCATTAGTCAATGTTTAGGAAATGCATGGCATGCCTGCATTGTTGGTTTCCACAGAAGCTTATCTGAGGATGAATGAGCTGTTCTAATGATGCCATAGTTCAGAGCTGTTAATTTACCATGACTGACCATCAGCCTGAGACGGGTTTTCATGCTCAAGGTTCTTAGCCATTAATTTAGTTGTAATGCTTAGAAGAATGTACACAGACATTGTTTGATTTTGTGTGCAACGGCATGGTCTGAAGTGCACAGATTCACTCCACTGCTGGTTAGTGCACTGTAAACGCAATAGGCATGGCAGAAGAGGTGGATTTACTGTCAATGCAATCTAAATAAACTGTCCACTTTGAATTTTTGTGTTTCCACTTTGCTCTGACAGCAAACTAAAGCATAGAATCAAGTCTGTCCTTTTTTAATTTAGAAGCTAACGCGTCCAAATGGGGGGAAAAAAAGAGAAAAGAACAGCTAATCGGTTTTAACAATTCAGTTCTAGTAGTCCTGCTTGAAAGCATGTTAAAAAAACTAATGCGCTTATATCAAAATGGAATTACTTTGAGTTTGTAATAATACTTGTATTATGTCTTGTGTGAATTCTGCATGAAGGAGCTGAGGCTCGTTTTTAAATCTATTTAGGTTAGAGAAAACAGAGACTTTCACCTAAAACATCCATTCTCATGCTGAACCCCTCAATGATAAATGGTCATAACATGTAATACAGAATATATTTTTAAATGTAATGTGGAGGTAGTAGGTACGGCTGCTCATATTATTTAGTGTCCAGTCTGTTTGCATTTTTTAATAAACCTCTAATGGTTCAAAATGAAATTGGATTTATTTTGGTGTACCTCAGTCTTTTCCTTAAATCTCTCCACGTGTGTTTTTGTCTAGGTCTTGAAGAAAATATCAAATTACATCCAGGAGCAGAATGAGAAGATCTACGCTCCGAGAGGTCTGTTGCTCACAGACCCCATAGAGAGAGGAATGAGGGTTGTATCCTTCACTTTTCTGCTATCCCTTCCCCTGAGTTCAACAAATGATGAATATATGTCCAGAAAGTGGTAGTGGAAAATAACTGGCATTAACTATAATGGTAACATATAGATAAACTGCATGAATCAAAAATATATATATTTTTTGCTTTTGCTTTTGAAAGGTGCCCTTCTGTAGCAATTTTGGTCCCAAGGAGTAAATCTAAAATGGCAAGTTTGAAGACATGCATGCTAAATCTTTTGAAAGAATAGCTGAAAAGGAGTCAAAAAATGTGCATGCAGTTGTGGTGGAGCATTTTATTTTATTTTAGTACTCCAAAATAATGGTTTGCTTTGTGGTCTGCTTAACCTTGCTGTTTGTGTAGTTCGTGGTACATTATTTTACAGATGAGCTGTTCTGCTGTTGGAAGAGGCCAACAGTTTGTCTCTCTCTGACAGTTGGAGGGATCACACATGCAGGCGAAAGGAAAAAGAAAATGTGTCCAACAGACCATCACACAGGCCTGGCCCAGACTGCTGTAAAGATCAAGCTTCACCTCGAAGGGCCAACTTTGTACCAACACAGCCAAAGCATTTCTATGGTCTCTATTTCCAAAATTTGGATGTAGAGCTCATTATCCAAAACAACAGATTAGCAAATGTCACGCTTTAATGTATTAAAATGCATAACAGCTTCAAGTTCTGAAGTCATGCTGCCTTTCATATTAGGGCAAGTAAGGCTGGATGTGGATGTCTGTATGGGACACAACAGAGACTGGTTTTTCTTGAGTGAGTCTGCAGATCTTGTGCCTTTTTGGCAGTATCATGCTGATTTTGTTACGGGCTGGTCCAAGCCTTTTCCATCATCTAGGAAAGAATGGCGGAGAATCCAATTTCCAGTTAGGCCTGATCCCCTGCAGCAAATGTAGAACAGCCTCAGTGCATAGAATTACAAATAGCAACGTGGACATTGAGAAACTAGTTGCCACGTAAAACATTTCTCTCATGCTAAATGGAACAATATTTACGAACACTTTATATAAAGTCCATAATATATTGTCTATTTGAACTGGAAGAAAATCCCCTTTAATGAAGGTTCAGTTTTTGACTATTGAAAGTATGCAGCCATGTTTCCACACAAAAAAGAAGCTACAGCCAAAAGAAGATCTCTTCAAATACAAATGAGAAGGATGGTGTTTAGAGAACTGAAAATATTGCATGCATGCCTGGAAACTGTTTCCTCTCTGCTAAACATAAGGTGAGACTATCATGATTTATGTTCATTTTGGTGTATTTAGGTTAGAATGGCTTACAAGCAGTAGTGGAACATTGCATTTTGAATTATTCCAGCAGGTTCTACAGGAAATGGCTAGGACTAAATTCCAAACCTAACTGGATGAAGTGCACCCAGGACAAGATTGAGACTAAAAGTTATTATAAAGAGTAAATAAAAAAATGAAGAAATTGTAACTCAAACTCTTGACCTCTTACACCAGAAAATGTGTGCAGTGATGAAGAGATCAACCAGTTTCAGAACTGAAGCTGTTCTTCATCAAGAAATATGTTGGGGAAAAATCTTACAAGCCATTGTGCATGACTGACTACCAGGATATTTGTGTTTATATTTGCACAAGTTTTACATTCCTGCACTCCCCAAATAGTAGACCCACAATGTCCTTTATTATTTCTTTGTTCCTTGACATTCATTGTGTCCTCAGCTAGAGGTCAGTGTATTTGAGGACCGGGGCTCAGACGGCTCCAGTCCCAGCAGCAGCCTGTCATCATGCAGCAGTGCCCGATGACTGGAGGGGCAGCGCCAGGCTTACGGGTACCACCACAGGGGCAGCGGGACGCTTACCAATATTCGCATGCTGAAACATGAGAGCACCAGGTTCTAGGACAAATTGAGAAAAAAAGGCAAGGAGGTGATCCACAACACTCGCGCACTTCCTGCTGGGGCCTTCAACATAACACCTTGAAAGGATGGCTTTTATAAAGATGGATACAGTAACAAACACTGAATCTACACATCAGTATGACATCTGTCATTTATTGTTTTCTCATTCACCTGTTCTCATCTTATTACATCACATCAGTCTCCATCAGTCACATGCTCACCTTTAATCAGAAAGGGAGTCCACATCCTATTAATTTATCATATCTCTCACTTGACTTACACGCAGTTTATTCTGAAGTCTCAGCAGCAGCTTTGACATCCCAAGCGAGAGCATCTTCCAAGTCTCCCAGTAGACACCGTGTTCTCTTTTCTTGCTGAACGACTGCATTTGTTTCAGGTGGTTGAGGTCAAGCTGCTCTGAATAATGGCAAATTGGACCTACTGTGGGACTGTGCCCCATATACAGGCATTTGACGTACATATCAAACAGCTACCAAAGAGCAATTTGAATTATTTATGCTCCTTATTCCCTGCAGTGGATATAAGTGATCCACATCACAGCTGTAGGTCACACGCAAATTCATACAAATGCACACGACCATGCAAAAGCATCATGCAGACATGCTATGGAGGGGACATGTGAGCATGTGCATTGAAACACACACATGTAGCTGTAGAGGAAACGCATTCCTGCACACGTCTGGATTAGAGTTGGATCCAGAAATGATTTTGCATGTGGTTTAAGCTCATTGCAGCAAATCCAGGTCCAGAAAGACTGCATCTGTTCTTTTTTATATGGGTTTTTGTATTTTGTGGAACGTGTGTGGCTGTGCAGTTAGTTCCATTTTAATGTAAGATAAAAAGCTTGCATATCTTTAAGATGTCTCAAATCAATGCTTCCAAAGAGGCCCATTTACTCATGAGAACGCTGAAAGAGTGTGGGCTGGTATCTCTACAGCAAGAAAATGTATGGTTATTTATGAGAAAGGTGCTTTCGTTTGAGTGTGGAAACCGGCAGGAGAATCAGCCCACACAAAGTCGGAAGCCTAAACCTCTTATAAGCTTTTCCACCATCATGTTGATTCAGATTGTCTTTAAAAATACATAAAACAACAGAAATAGACAAACATACACTTTTGCAATGCATTGCACTGGACACACATTAAGATGATGCAGATAAAATTTCACAATCAGGTAAAAAAAATCGCTGCATTTTCAGGCAAAAAATAACTCTTTTTTTAAAAATAAGCACAATTTGAGAAAGTTTAACTTAATGACATCTAGTATTCATTTGCTCTTGGAGGCTGCAGTAGCTTGGTGGTCAGTGCTGCAGTCTTGTAATCCTGGGGTTGCAGGTTTGAGCCCAGGTTGTGTCAGGAAGGGCATCCGGCGTAAAACAAATAGCCAAATATTTCACGTGAGTTTGCTCGCAGGGGTGATCCCTGGAGAAGGAGTAGTCGTTAAATAGACTGTCTTTTTTGACTAACGTTTTTGTGGCTGTGCACAGTCTGATAAGATAAGCTGCCATCATTATATTGCTAAAAGGAAATGAGCAAGCAACAACAACCACAAGATGAGACCAGCTAAAGACTAGTTGACTTGTTTACTGTTTGTATTGTTCATGTTTTTCTCATCACATATTTAGTCATTTAACATTTGTTTCTCATGTTTTGGGTTTGTAAATTCACTCATAACATCACCTAATCAGCACACAGTCATTGTCTAACGGCTGATTTATTTGCTCCTATACGGTTTGATTTGAACATTTCCACATCACCTGGATTACCAGTTTACGTCGCAACATGTTTACGACAGCAGTTGGGTTTAGCTGTGTTTGTGTTCAGCCTCCTTTCCTTTTGTTTGATGCCTTCATGTTTCATCCCAGTGGAAATGGATATCCAACCTGGAGCTGATTGATTGAGCTGTTTAAAAGACTCACCACTGCCAATTAGCACATAAAGCAGCTCATTGGACAGTACATATATACAGTATATATATATATATATATATATATATATATATATATATATATATATATAAAAAGAAATATAAACGACTTATCCAGAAGAAAAATGAACTCTGTGTGTTTGTTTGTTCATTCAAACTTGTTTGTTAAATGTTAAGAAGCTGATTTATATCATTATTCTCAGTTGTCACTGTTTTGTGATTCCAGATCTTCTAACTTTGGGCAACGAGGAAGAAATAGAAAATGACATGTTTGTCATTTTCTGACATTTTCTTTAGTCTAATATCTTTTTTTAAATGTTGCCAGTGTAGCTTTGTATATTGTTAATAGTAAAGATGATGATGACATGAGTTGTTGATAGGGATGCACTATATTGGATTTTTGGCCGATATCCGATATGCCAATATGTTAAAACTTATTTGGCTGGTAACCGATACCAGTACTGATATTTTTTTTTCCCTAGACCTACTTACAGAGACTACAAAGCTGTATCTATTGTGGAATTAAAATACTACATTATTCTGCATGGTCTTTGTCAATTTGGCCTACTACCAAATGCAGATGCCAAAAAGGAGCTTAAAATGATGAAACACTTCAACTTGGATTATGTTTAATGTCAAATTTATTTATGACATTTACTCCCTCTAACACAATAACACTCAAACAGAGCAACTATGTACATTTTCACAAATCTAAACTCAACGGTGCATGTGATGTCATAATGTGCTGGCGATGCAGGCATCTTTGTCACTGGGTTGTCATACAAAAACAGATATACTGTATTTATATATTTAACTTTATCGCTAATATCGGCCGATAACGATACCATGCCGATAATATTGTGCATCCCTAGTTGTTCATATTGATGGCTCTCAGGGGTAAATATAAATGTGCCAAATTTAAAGGCTCTTGAAGGATATATAGCCATGATAGCAGCTGTACCGTCACTCCGTTGGTTGGAAAGTCTTGGAAAAGCTGAAATTTTAAATGAAATTTTTCAACTACAACATCAATTGAATTTCTTTATTTTTCTTGTTTATATCTTTCTCAAGATAATGCTTAATATTTTTGCAATCCTTTATTTTCTAACTTGTTTTTCATGACTAAACATTTGAAAATCTAACGGATCCATCATGTATACTTTGTGTCTATTGCTAACTGGTGAACATTAAGAGGACGATAAGATAAGTTAATAAATGTCTATGTTGTTTTTGTTTATTTCTAAAACCTACAGAGCTCAAACTACTAAAAAACTCAATTCTTTCCTCTCAGAAACACAGTAATCCTGAACAATTTCAAAAACGTCGTCTTACACAATATTTTCGTTTCTTGCTGCAGCAAAACAGCCAAGACATGCCACTGTCACTATTTGAACAATATGACAGACTTTTTAAACACTTTTTTTTATATTTATGTTTAATATGACTGAATATGAGTTAATAAAAATAGAATAAATCCCAACTATTACTCTCATTATCGCTGTTATGTTAACATTTACAAGTGTTTACAGCAGAGGGCATTGTTTCTGATGGTTTTTGTCCAGACATGATCAGTATAAAGAGCTCAAACAGTCCAAATGGAAAGTTGCTAATCACCAAGTGTTACAAACGTGAAAACACATTTGCTACAAACTGTATTTTTATTTTTTTTTTTTAATCTGAATCTAACCTGACCAATCAGAACAAAGATTTGTCGATAAAGAAGCAGGAGAGTATAGCACAGAAACAATTTAAAGCTATTCACATATATGATAATAATCTCAACAAAGACAATATATTTATTAGTACATAATGGTATTAATAATGATAAATAATGGTATGGCATCTTTCAACATACTGTATTTTTCGGACCATAAGGTGCACCAGATTATAAGGTGCATTAAGTGAAACAAGACAGTCAGATAAGTCAAACTTTATTCACCTCATTCACAATAACCACATAAAATTGGTTTGAGGTCAGTAAGCACAACCAGAATTAATACATAAGGTGCACTGGATTATAAGGCTCATTGTCGATTTTTGAGAAAATTCAAGAATTTTAAGTGCACCTTATAGTCTGAAAAATACGGTATATTACAAAGGGTTGTATACCATGTTTCCCTTTTCAGAACAGCTTTTTTTTAATAAACCAAAGGAGTGAAGACTCTCTTTAGATGTTAAACTGAAATATCAGCAAGCAGAAGAATTTATTTTAGCCATGCTGTTTATTGTATTTTATTTACCAAAACTTGATTATGAAAGAGATGCGGGTGACTTTTATGCCTGTAAAGTTATTTAGTATTGTACATTTCTGATATATTGTGTTGTACAGTACTTGAAATGAACCAATCATTAGTGAGAACAAACTGTATGTCTGAAGAGCTGTGAGTGGGATTTCTTTTAACACTTACTGTAAAGTCTTCTATAAAAGATGAAATGTGCAATATGTTGCCATCCTGAGTCCTTTTCTTCTCTGTAACACACAGTTTATACTGCATGATGTGTGTTGGAGCTTGGATACAAATGATAGGAAGTGAAATCCAGATCTACAATCTGTTTTATATCTTGATGTCTTAATTTGATTTTTAACACAATACTTGAAATTCAGTTTATGTTTGTGGAAAAAAAAGTTGATTGTGAGAACTGTTTTATCTGCAGCAGATGAATAAAGAATTTATCAAAGTTGCTGAAAAGATGATTATGAGCACAGATTGCTGTTAATATGCAACAAGTTAAAACTCATGCAGCTGGTAAAAACTTAGTGTACACGGTCGCCTCTTGATTTCCTGCACACACTTTTCAGGATATCCACAAAAATTAAAAAAAAATAACACATAGCGAGACCAAATTATGTCACTCAGCAGTCAGAACTTCAACACATCTGTACTTCAAAGGACACTATTTGCCTCTATGTGTCTCAAATTACTTTATTTATTCATTTGTTTGCTTGTTTGTTTGTTTGTTAGCCTCTTAGGAACAACTCTGAACACTGTGACAGTTAAAAAGTTATTATAACCCAGATGCAACCGCA